TTTTTTTTTTTTTTTGGTCCAGAAATCTTATATTGATTATTTTCATAATTTTTTTTCTAAATATTTTTTGCTGATTTTTATTATATTTACCTTTTATTCTGGATATTTTTATTAAAATATAAGCAAATAAGCATTTTTCGTACATTATTTCGCCAAAAAACAAATAAAGACAATTTCAGTCCTGTTTTATCAAAAACCAACAGCTGGCCTTGGAATTGAGTCACTGTGTCTCTGATGCCATCTGGTGGGGAAAAATGACATAAATTGCTTTTTATGGTTACAGCCACTAGAGGGGCCTATAGGATCCTATGGAGATTTTAAACTGAGCAAAACAAGTTAAACATGACAGTCCATAAGGAGAAATTAGATAATCTTGAGGCTTCAATTTGGTTGTTTATGGATTCAAATATATATTGAAACAAAAACAATTCTAACTGAATTATAATGTAAACATATGTATATCCATACAATTTCATAAATATGAAATATAATTTTTTTAAAAATATAAATATATTTAAAATATAAATATGAAAAAACGCAGTTTTCTTGTAAATTCCATTCATTCCTATGTGGGTCAAAATGACCCGCGAGGGACACTTTTGTTACCTTTTTTATTGCACCCATTTAAACTCCTTGAATCCACTCAGTTTTGTGTGTGTGTGTGTGTATTCCCGGTGCAAGTGTGACAAAAGTAAATAAATCTTGGACCGGTACGATCAACACACGATTTTTAGAATTTTTTTGAAAATCAGTTTTGGGTCAAAATGACCTGAGGGACGGATGAGGGTTTTAACTAAATGCAAGGAAGTGAGGAGCAGAAAAACAATTTTCTCCTACTTTGAAGGCCAGCCATGATTTTGCACAGACTGGAGAAAGAATGATAAGGCGGTGCTTGAACGGTTGTTTGTTGCTGGTTCCAAGTACATGATCTATACCAAAAAAAGAATAAATGGAATACATTAAATCAGTGGTTCCCAAACCTGTCCTGGAAGCCCCCCTGCCCTGCACCTTTTGTATGTCTCCCTTATCTAACACACCTGATTCCACTCATCAGCTCGTTAGTAGAGACTGCAAGAACTAAATTGGGTGTGTCTGATTAGGGAGACATACAAAATGTGCAGGGCAGGGGGTACTGCATGGAGAGGTTTGAGAACCCCTGCATTGAATCATTTAAACATAGATAGATAGATAGAATCAGACTGAGGATAGACAGACAGACAGACAGATAGAGATGGATAGAGCTAGATAAAAAGCTGTTTACTTTTCGTGAGAACCCATCTATCCCACCGAATATGATGATGTTGTACCTTCAAAGTAAAACAATGTTAAACGTAATATATTACCTATGATAGTGTAATGTTATGCAATAAGACAATACCTTATAAGCTTGTGATTCGTGTCAATGTGGACTAAGGACAATGGACTTTTAACAAAATATGACCTCCTGACAATACACCCCAGCTGTGTCATCCTTTCCAAAATTCCAGGGGCATCCACTCTGTGCATGGATTCTTTTATGCGGTTCCATTGAACTCTATGTCCGTCTGCTTGCAGGCAGCCTTTTATCATCCTATATCCAGCATTTGGTAGTCTTCTTTTGATGGCCGAAATGGCATTATCCAATTCATTGTCAGATATGGTGCTATACGTAGTTTTTACAGATAAACCCAAGTCACGCATTCGGCGGAAGATTGTTGAATGGCTTACTCCTAAAATGTTCGCAATACAAGAAACTGGTAAAGACATCTCAATGAGCCGGGACAGCATTTCCTCGGAAACAAAAAACTTCGGTTGACCTCGTCCACCACCACATTCCCTCTTAAGAACTGGGCCCACCTCTTGGGAAAGAGCTGCATGATTTTTTTTGTTGTAGATCCATGAGGGTCTCCAAAATATAATTTGGCACATCAAAGATAGTGGAGGCTGACGACAAAATAAACACTTCTTGATTGATAACATACTGAAAATAGTCCAAGTCCAGCTGATGGCCATCTAAAACGGCACTTACTCGTGACCTGAGGCATTCTAGTAAGTGCGTCATCAGCGGTCCCTGTAAGTCAAATTACTCTGACATTAATATTACTTAGACAAAATCCTCTCTGTTATTAGTGATAACTAACCCTTAAACATGTCCGAATTTGAAAAAGAAAAAAAATCACTTACCTGAGACGATGAGTGAGCGCTTGGCTGCTGATCCGCCATTTTGGCGCAACTCGTCAGTTCTGAACTTACTCGGAGGATGCAGAGTGGGTATAATACCTTTAAGTGAGCTACACCCTGTGTATTTGTCCCTATAACCACGAGAGCTACACCTGGTTAAGCCAGTGACAGTCAGAAATCAGAAGCCCCTAATGGTGTTCCCCATGGTTCTTCCATTGGTGCTTCAGTATGATCCGTCCTGAACGCAGATTTGCGGAAATACCACTATACATTAATCTACTTGAAAAATGATTTCAGAAGAGATCAGAATAAATCAAATGTAACAATTTATTATCAGTCAGGTAAACATGTATTATGCCAATTACACAGTCAATTCAAAGATATCAAATCAATACAAGACATCAAATTCTCAAAGATAACTCTAAGAGTAAAGGATGCATACCTGACTTCAGGAAAATACATAGTATAGAGTGTGTGGACACACTCCATACTACTGGCTTTCTGGCTACAGAATCGTAGCGAATCGTAGTAATCGTAGAAAGTAGTGTTTTGTCACTTCGCGTAAATACCCAGACCTGAACAGAGAAATCTTCAAATCAGTTGTAAAAGCATCAAAGACCTTTTGGTTTGTTAGGGTCTCGTAACCCAAAAGGTCACACACCAAGTTTTGGGGATGAAAACAAATGGTTATCAAAGATCTTTATTGGGGCATCTCCCACATCAGAAGAACAGGTTTTGTTTAGTTTATTCTTGCCTGTTCTGTTGATGCGAGAGTGAAACCACCTAACCAGTCGCACCTGAAGTATTTACATTGACCACACATAGAAACAATAGATTTGTGAAATTTGCATGACTGACTGCGACCTGAGGGGAAGGAGAGGGTGTGAGGAGTCAGGAACTCAGCATGGGGGGGATGAGATGAGATTGGGCCAGCTGTTGTTCTGTGCTTTTTCTCGTAGATCCTATCTTCAGATTAGTGAGTTTTGTTATTTTATTACAGGATAGGAATCTCGAATTCAGTATTGGTAAAATCCATCCTGTCACAACTGTACACTTTTACTGTCATGTGACCATGTATTTTGGAACCACCCATCATTTCTGCCACACTGTGATAAGGAGAAACACATGGGGGGAATGGAAGGCACCCATTTACTTTAAAAACGGTTTTTGGCTTGTCAAAGTCAACTTTTAGCATAACAGATGTAATGGTTGTTACATCAAAGCAAATGTATCCAGGTCTACAAATATTTGTGATACATATAGGTGATTTAGCAACATATAAAACCATGCAAATCATTTAGCTAAAATGTAAAAGATGTGGGAAGAATCATTGAAAAGGGGAAATATGTCTAGTGAAAAGTGCTGAGTGCCACAAATGCTGGAAAAGGGGTCTTTTGGCTGCAGCGATGTAATAAACTTCCTGGGTGAGTTAACCCATATTGTAAATGTAAAACGCCTAGTCGTCACAGAAGCTCCCGTACTTGCATTCTATGATGTTACGAAGCCCACAGTCATCAGTACAGATGCCAGCAACTGCGGTCTGGGTGGGGTTTTGCTGCAGGACCATGGTGGACAGTTGAAACCAGTCCCAAAGAGAACAAAACCTCCTGATCAATACCTCCTACCTCCTTGTGCATCAAATGCACTGACCAGACATGAAGAAACCAGGAAATCACAAACGAGTCCAGTACAGCATTATGGGAGATGGAGTTAACATAAGTTTTAAGAGATAAAAAATTTGACATGCTTAATAATTCCTTTCACTTTTCACATGGTACTGACGTAAATTAAATATTAATATGTAGAGGTGCTACAACAGCCCAAAACCAAAACCCCATTAGACTTGAATATAATGTTATGCTGCATCGATTTTCTTCCCCACACCCCTACTAGCTGTAGGCTCTGGCTTCAAATTCACTGCACTTCTTTAAACAAGCATTTACAAGATGTAATCTGAGACAGAAAAATAATCACTAGTGTCCTACCTCAAAGGCTAACGGCACCGGTGGAATTGCAGTTGTCGAAGTGATTCTTAAGGCCATGAAGACTTTAACCTACAAGTCCCTGTGCTTCCCTGAGTCCGTGAAAGCTCGAGGAGCGGACAACAAGGACGACCTGCCCGACTACTACTACAGAGATGATGGCATGATGGTCTGGGAGGCAGTGAAAAGGTAACTGATAAAATACACAAAAATGTACAGATGTTCAAATGCTACTGGTGAGATTTAATGACAATGAAGTCATTAGTAAAGCATTTGACGCCAGGATTTACTTTTGAATTTGCTGATCTTCCTCCAGTTTCGTTTCTGATGTGGTCAGGATCTACTATGGCAGTGATGAGTCCGTTCAGGAGGACGAGGAGATCCAGGCATTTGTTCAAGATGTCTGCTCCTCCGGTATGAAGTACTGTCCCCAGAATTGTGGTGAGTACAGGATCAATTTACTATAAGTGTGCATGTTCTTATGATTGCATATGCATTGTGTTTGCATGGCGTACAAAGTCACATTTCATTGCATATCAAGTTCAAAATGTTACCAATGTTCACAGAGTTTCCAGATTCCCTGAAAACTCGGGAGCAGTTGGTCGAGTACCTGACTGTTGTGATTTTCACAGCTTCAGCACACCATGCTGCTGTCAACTTCGGACAGGTGGGATTACAAAGACTTTTCTGGATGAATCTAAACTATGCCTGGGTTAGCATCTATAGGCTGATATCTGTGTGCCTGCCTGTGTTCCAGTACGACTGGTTTGCCTGGGTCCCAAACAGCCCTTCCACCATGAGGAAGCCTCCTCCCACACAGAAGGGCCAGGTGGATATGAAGTATATCATGGAGAGTCTGCCGGACCGTGGACGTGCCAGTTGGCATCTAGGAGCAGTTTGGGCCCTAAGTCAGTTCCAGGACGAAGAGGTTTGATGACCGATTATTCATAACTAGTTTGAATATACTTGCAACACAAAACAAAGAAAACAGTATTTTGTCCAAATCTTCTCCCCAGCTGTTTTTAGGTGTGTATCCAGATAACTACTTCACTGACCAACCAGCCTTGGAAGCCACTAAGACTTTCCGCGAGAAATTAGTTGAAGTGACCAACATCATCAAGAGCCGAAATGAAAAACTGAAATTGCCCTATTGGTATCTGTCTCCAGACAGAATCCCCAACAGCGTGGCAATCTGAGAGAACATCCGTGGGAAATATATATATATATATATATACTTTTTAACTGGGCTATTTGGATCCACATCACAACATAACTCCATAAACAAAATCATTGCTACAGTAACTGTAAGGATTTTAGTGAAAATGGTCATCTGGATGGAAATAATACAAAGTATTATACACTTACACCAAGAATTGGATGTCTATACAAAATAAAAACAAATAAATATGCAATCACCATTCACGGTAATTGAAATGTGATGCATTTAGGGATTCTCATCGGCGACGTGTGGGTGTGTGTTACTTCAAGAGAGCAACCATCTGCAAACATGCAAACAAATGTAATTTTTATAATCATTAGTCATTCATGTAGTTGTCATTTGATTTATTATGTCATTTTATGTTTTTATATTACTTATTTCCTTTCTATCTTATGATTGTGGGGTTTCGTAACAAAATAACACTTGTTGGATTTGTACTGATTAGATGAAGTCTGAGCATTGAAACATACTAAGATTATTCAATAAACCATCACTTTGTCTCCTGCTTTCTGCTCTGGTCAAATTTGCTTTGGTTACCAGACAAGACTTGCTGTTGACAGGTTTTACTGTTTGACAAAATGGATATTTGCTGGAAGGATTCGACATCTGAGAGGTCGGAAATCTTCCATAGAAATCTAACAGTAACACAAATAAGATATTATTTTGGCATTGACGCTATGGGAACACTACTGTGTGAGCTGGTGTCTGAAGCACATGTCTAAACACACCAATCTGAACATATGGATGTCATGAAATAGCGTAGTGCTTCACCGAGTCCATAAATAGATGCCAGAGATGCACGTCGACAGTAGGGCTGGGCGGTATGATGGTAGATATCGTTACCACGGTATAAAGTGTCTATTGTTAGAGATTCTGCTACATCATTTATTTCGCGGTATGCAAATATATCCACGTTATATACACCTAAGAGTAATAAAGAAACATGCATGAATGAGAAAATAAAGAGTGGGACGTGATGGCCCAGACAAACCATCATTTTGATTGAGATTTAATGTTTAAAGTTTGATGTATGTTGAAGCAACATTGAAATTTTCATGAAAGTCAACAGCCCAAATGGGTTTTGTTCTCTCAAAATTGTTCTCTTTAGCTACAAACTCCGGTTAAATGGTAAATGTTTTTGGCTGTTCGGGAGCTAGCTTGATTGAGTTTTATATTCGTAATCATGTATTGAGCAAATTGTAGCATTTTGAATAGTTTTTACCTCAGAAAAGAATGAATCGATGGCTTTATTACTGCTTTAGTGACGTATGAGGACGTTACACGTCTTATAACGCACAGAAATGCCAACAGCCATCTACTTTCTGGCCGCTGCCCAGATTGGTTGGGTGTAAGTTTCAAGATTGCTTTTTCCAAATTTTCCTAGAACATTCTCATTGGTGGTTTTTGTAGTATGCTCAACTTAATATTTGAATTTCTAATGGAGGTGTTGATCTGTATTTTCCTTACAATAACACGTAGGACTAATGAAATCCAACCATATTAAATAAATGAATATATGCAGTCAGAGCATTTGTACATGGATTTATGTGTGGTATTTTTGTAGCTCCTTTAGGTTGAATTATACCATTACATCAAATATGTTTTTAGGAGCTAAGGAAGCCACCCAGTGGAGTTGGGACTGAATCAGGGGAGTCCACTGCAGCAACATAGAAGTGGTGCAACCTCATGGATGAGGCAATAGGTGGGAATGTTCATCAGATGTCTTAAATTGCTCAAAAATTAAATAATGAATAATTCTAGAATAATTGGGGCGATTTTGTAGGCATCTTCATGGAAAATAAATATAATATAAAACCCTGAAAAATGACTTTTTACTTATTGCCTTATTTTGCATTGTTTAATACACTGTTTGACTCACTTTATTCACTATCAATTCAGGCAAATCGAAGAGCTAACATGTTATCATATTAATAATGAATGTTGCTTCTTGACCTAAAACAAGGGAGCTCATTTGTGAATGAAGTGCAGTCTGGTGTCTAGAAGCGATACAGTGGGAGGCTATATATATATATATGTATGTCTTCCAGGTTAAAACAGAGCACTACACTAAAGAGGACACATTTGGTCACTCATGTTAACTTCCTAATGTGATAATTATAAGTAATTTAACATTTTATTCAACAATTACAAACCTTTTTTTGAAAACAGAAAAGTAGTAAACATCTTTTGTCACAAAATTTGAAAAATGAAAAAGCAGCTATTCTTGCTGTAGTAATTAACAATTAACTTATAATAAATAACATATATCAGAATAATTATTTTGTTTTGCAGACTTTTTTTTTAGCAACAGTGACAAAGTAAAACAAGTGTTGGTCATCATAGCTAACAAATAAAGATTAAATAAACTTTTCAACAACTGTATAAAAAATAAAGCTGGCTTCTTTCTCACAACTGTTGCATACAGTAAATATAAATATTCAAATACCAATTTGCTTCTGTATGCATTAATTTGCTCATTCAAGCTTCGAGGTTTTTGGCTAAGAATACCAGTCTATCCACCATTGCAGGCTTGAGACTTGAACGTTGGCAAGTGATTATGTTGCCACTTGTACTTAAAACCCGCCCTGACGGGGAACTTGTAGTGGGAATAGGAAGATATTTGCGGGCAAGCTTGGCGAGATGTGGAAAGCTTACTCTATGTGTTTTCCAACCATGCAAGTGGATCTTGCTCTTCGTCTATAGAAGGTGTTAGCAGGTAGTTGCTTAATTCTGCTTCCACAGCATCTTTAAGGGTCACAGAGGAATCACCCTTTGCTGCAGCTCCGCTCAGTTTAAAGAAACTTCCCAAGGACTTCTTGGCTTTTTTTGCCTGGGATGTTTCAGCAATCTCGTGCTCCACCTCAGTGCTGCAGCTTGCCAAAATCTTCTGGCATTCCATCATCTCTGATGCAACTTTGGCCTTCACTCTGGGCTTGTCTGCACTGATGAAGTCCATATTGAATCGGGGGTCCAAACAAGAAGCCACATCTAGCAGCTCCTGAGTGGCATCATCTTTATATTTCTTATTGACGTAGTGCAACATATCGCTTGTATGATCCTCCGGGGAAAATGCTGTTTGCAAGTGGAAGTCCTCATCAATAAAGTGTATGGTCAGATTATGTAGGGCTCCGTTGTTCGGCTGGACCACAAGTCGGTTGTTGCTGCATAATATTTAACTTGTGATAGCTCAGTTTCCACTTGTCGTACAGCTCTGGGATGGCAACTTGAGAAAAATCAGTGCGTGATGGTATAACATAACGCTTGTCAGGTGTTTGTAAAACCTGGGTTGGTAACCATGTTAATTGATACCATGTCTTTCACAAGGTGAAATGTTATCGCATCCGTGATATCTTTCTGCCGCTTGGAACCCTTCTCATATGGTGTAACACTGGCAAACGCATCTGAAATAGTTTTTCACTTTGGACGGCAATCAGATCCGGCTTTGCACTCGTCATTCAGAGCTCTGTGGTGCCGACTTAAATGATCAAACAAATTAGTTGGCAACAACTGCACGGCACTCCCGACAAAGTACCTGTTTTTGGTCAACATCATCCTTTCTGTAGCTAAAATATTTCCAAATAACTGACGATGCGTTTCTTTTTGCGACCAAATCGTCCATTTCGGTGCTTTTCTCCCGTTCCTCTTTAATTTCACCATGCGCACGCAAGAGACTGCTTGTCAAAAACGTGAAGCAACAAACGTGTGATTTGTAAATAGTTTTTTTTAATAACCCTTAAATCAGAATTAATTACTTCATATCAGGAAAATATAGATTGTGCAAGTTTTTTTTCTCTTTTGAATCAAACAAACAAAATATGTATGTTTTGCCCTGCATCGCACCTCCTGCGATGTGACTATTGCGCATGCGCACATCGCGATGACGATGCTGAAACGATAATATCGTGCAGCCCTAATGCAGATCATATTTTAAGTTAAGCGAAATCAAGCAGTTTATAAGACAGGTATGTTCTTTCTTTATACTTTTTGAATGTTTCATTGATACAACGTGGCACTGAGTTGTTAGAAAAGAAATGCGTCGTGACATCATTGCTTGATGACGTCAGGAACCGATTAATCGGCTTTTTGAACCTGTTCAATGAACCGATCTGTCCGAAAAGAACCGGTTCGTGGAAATGAATCAGACTTTGCATCACTAGAGGACAGAGGAGAGAATGAGAAGGGAAGAAGTCAGGGAGGAGAGACTACTACTAAGATGTGTGTTGTTTTTTTTAAAGATTAATTCATGCTAACAAACAAAAACATTAATATTTCAATCTACTGTCATATGGGTCCAAACCAAGCGGCAGCCTCCCGCTCTCTCTCGTGAAACCAACAAGGAGGAGGTTGTAACATTAGCATTAGCAAGTTCACAGTAGCTCGCCGCTAGCTAAACCAGCTAGCTAGAGCTACAGAGATAGAATTTGGGAAACTTATTCCTATAGCAAAGGTATCAGGATGAAGTAAACCGTTAATTTCATTTACCAAATTCCCAGTTAGTTTAGTATATACAATGGTTCAAACCACTGAGCAGAAGGGGGATCTGCGCCCAAGCCAGTTGACAATGTTCTGTACACAAACACACACACACACACGCACGCACGCGCGATCCCAAACGTGCCGAAGAGTGGCTGTCCTGTGTGGTTTGCAGACATTGGTATCACGAAACATGTGCGGAAATAATGGTGTGATAGATGATGATGGGTCTCTCACCTGCAAGGAGTGTCTGTTCCCCGAGTAGCCCCAATTTTAATAGAATGGAGAACTTGAATAACCGAATGAATAATCCGTTAATCACATTGTTGCTTAAATTTTAGTTGATTCTTTTAAATGTTAATACAATGTTAAATAATTTTAACAGTTTTAAATTCATTTAAATAAATTAACACAGTAGATCGTTAATCCTGTGTAGAGATAGAAATTATTTTTCCTGATATTGGAATAAACATTTTGTTATTGAGATTTCTGTACTTGTAATTTTTTTCATAATGCTTTTTAAAAATTGGTGATATTGTGTTTGGCATGCATAAAGTATGGTGAATATAGGCATATAGGTGAATATTCAGGCAGAATTTTTTTTTTTTTTGCACAAAAACACTAGTGTCTCCTGTATATAATATCTACATTCTTCTGGTGTGGTTAGAAAACATCTTAGGGATTTCAGAAAAGTCTAATCCTCTGGTGGGTGTGGTGCCTTTGAATAGAGTGGGCTGTTCATAAGCACTCTGGAGTCATGCACAGATCCTGGATAACC